AATCCTTCTTTAATTCACGGACGTCCTAGTACCAAACTTGTCGAGTTGACCGTATATCTCTCTTTACCGATCTACATATTATTCGAGACTGATCTGTATCTCCCGTGGTATTGCGAATTATGCAAGTTGCACTGTTTTCTCGCCCTCGTTTACGTGCGTGTCTTTGGAACGGGTTGTGAAGGACGCGACCCTTCTACTAGTAAATTTTGCTAGGCTATCCTTGGTTCCGGCGTCTTCAACTTCGGTTACTGCGGGCGCCTCCAGAGGATGGGGGACTAAGAGTTGAACACCGGAGACGTCCCGCAAGCTCTTATGCACCCTGACTGCACAGACATTATGGTGTATCGCAATCCGGCAACATCTTTGAAGGAAGCCACATGTGGTCCTCGAAGAGTGTAAGAGGTTAGGAATACTGGCTCCAACGTCTCCCGCCCGAGATATCCGTATCTGTATCGACGGTCGTTTTCAATTGAAGTCATCCGGAAACATCTTGTGTATCAGCCTGAATGGTTTTATTTGTTTTTTATTCACTTGGGGGTTGTCAGATGATATAGGACTTGGTCTGTTTGAATGAGGGCTGGAAAATGAGTTCTTTACCGATTATTGGGTGTGTCTAAAAATAGCGCTTCGTCTGCACTGTCCACGATCACATTTGACAGGCACGCATGAACTTGAACGTCCTTCGAAGGTCTCTGCCGCAAACCAGGCAACCACTCTCGATATACTCTCTCAGAACAAAATCAAATCAAGCGAGAAGCAGTAGAATATGTCTACGAGGATTCTTCAATCCTGCTTCGTTGCTCCCAAATTTCGGTCAAGATGATGGTGGCAACAAGAGCACCGAGCAGAGATTTCACGAGAGGAAAATACTTCCGTACGTTATCTTAGCTCTGCCTTCACCATCTGTCTCTGATCGATATACAATGGCAGGTACTCACAAAGGCAGCTCTATGAACTCGTCGCAGACGTCGACTCGTATCACCATTTCGTCCCTTACTGCACCTCGTCCAAGGTCCTCAATTCTCGCGTCCTGAAACCGTTGGCAAGTCCGGAAATGCCACCAGTCATCTTCAAGGAAGCAGAACTCTCAGTAGGCTTTCTGGCTTTTAAGGAAAGCTACGTTAGTGAGGTCACTTGTACGCCGTATCTATCAGTGGAGGTGCGCATCATCTCATTCAAAACAGAATCGGCATCCATTAGTATCTAATACAACTATTTGAAAAGGCGGTCGCGTCGACAAGTACACCATTATTCAAGAAACTGGTCACAGTTTGGAGAATTCGACCGGCCAATCCGAGATCCCCACACTCATCATCCACGATCCCGACAGCAGGCGATGAAGAGACACATTCACAAGGTCCTACCCTTCTTTCTGTGGACCTTTCGTTCGCTTTTGCAAGTCCACGGCATGCAGCCGCATCCTCTCTCTTCGCCAATACGATTTCGAAGATGATGATCGAAGCGTTTGAGAAACGATGCCACACTGTGTACGGACGAGGAGCTATGTAGATCTCCCAACTCATAGAATGTCTCTCAAATGCATTAAATATCATTGACGCGATCTCTTCTGCTTGTCAACTGACCCAACCGACGAACCCCACTTATTTTGATTGTCTGGCCAGTAATAACTACTGCGATATTTTCCCTCCAATTTCTCCACCGAGCTTTCTTCCTCTACCCACTTGGTATCGGCACCCACTCTCTTTCTCCAAAGCCATTCGCTAACATTGTCTCCCGGTTCAATGGGGGCCAGCTTGTTTATAGAGCGCCCCTTGTTTCGAGCCTTGAGCTTGGAGTCGAGTACCTGCTTCTCGATCTCGGTAGGTGGTCGTTTCCTATGTACCTTCTCTACGAGTCCTCGCTCTTCCAGATCTGTAAGCACGACTTGCTTTAGGTACCTGCGAGTAGACAAGATAATTTATGGAAACGTGTTATTGTTTAAAATGAGATTGAGTGTAAATATGGACATATCCTTGCAACGCACCTCATACTTCGTATTGGGTGTTTATCGTTTGGCGGCCACGACTTTGCTACTATCTTTCCACTCGTCTTTTTGTGCATCATCTCTTGTGGTCTCGGCGGCACGTATGCTTTCGTAGTTTCTTTGGTCCGAATAGCAGCTTCGTATATTTGCCGGGTAGAGAGAAGGGCTTCTGAGGATGGTCCGGCGAAGGATGTGATATGATCGCCAAATACGCTCATGACGATGCGTTTCGCTTGGGGGGTTGCGTATCCTATCCAAGCCATCTCTTGGAGAAATCAATGGCCTTGAAATGTGAGCAGGGTGATTTAGTTGGATTCAAGTTGTGGACAGTCACAGTGGAGGAACTTGAAATTCGTGGACCGTGCACAAGCGGACCAATCAGGACGTGACCGATCGCGAGCAAAAACTTTCCGTCTCTCGTTCCTCTCGTCTCTCCCTCATTGTGCAAATCACGCGGACACTGTAAAATCCTACAATATGGGAAGAAGAGCAAAGAACAAGCAAGGGCCTCCAGCACCATACGTCGAGGTCAAACAAGACTTCGAAACAACTACCAGGAGGTCGGGAGGAAAACGAAAACAAAACGTTGACAGTGCAAATGGTCGACCAGCTAAGAAGGTCAAGCCCGACGGGGTCGTGAAGAATGCTGGGAAGAAGAGTGGAAAGGGGAAGAAGACGGATGATGGGGATGGATGGGAGGACGTTGAGGATTCGGGGCTAAAGTCGCAAACTCGGTGCGTTGAATGGGTCATTTCTTCCTGCACATGCCTTGCTCATTTGTATTTTACAGGGCTCTCTTTGACAACAGCGATGATGAAGAATCGCTGGAGGATCTTGCTGAATTCGATGATGACGATGATGACGAATTAGGGGAAGCAGATGACGAGTTCGTTGTGTCCTTTCAACGCTATTGCTTTCAAATACTCATTACCGCTCTTTAGTTTCTTGTCGAAGGTATGAAAGCCTTGAAATATTCCTTCCTCGCCTTTCTTACTATCATCTGCAGGTCCCGAAAAGCGCTTTGGACCTTGAATCTTCGGATAGCGAAGATGAACCCGAGCCGAAGAAAAAGAATGCGAAACCTCCAAAACCGTCATCCTCGTCAGACGAGGACTCTGCCTCTGATTCCGATGAAGAACGTGTTACACTTGCTAATATGGAGGCAAAAGCACGTGCATTAGATGAACAAGCTGCGTTAGACGCTGAAGCGGAAGCGGAGGAGCTTCGTCAAGCTGCTGAAGGTGCAGGTGACGAGGATGACTTCGAGATGGATGAGGCTGGCGAAGGTGACGGTGATGGGTTTGTTCTTCCTACAGCGGAAGAAAGGGAAGCTCAGAAGGGTGTCGCGGGTGATATCCATGGCGCGCAACGGCGGATTCAACAATGTGCAAGGATTCTGGGCAACTTCAAGAAGTTGGGAGCTCGAGATCGGTGATTGACATTTCAAAATCTCCTTTTCGTGAACCTTTTCATTGACCACTATTTAGGTCTCGATCAGAATATATTGCACAATTGTTGGCGGACATTGCAAGTTACTACGGCTACAATGACTATCTTGCTGAGAAATTATTCCATCTCTTCCCAGTTCTTGAGGTACGATTACCTCATATTGACTTTCATCGAAGGCCATTAAACATTTTTCAAGGCGATCGAGTTCTTCGAAGCAAACGAAGTACCCAGACCAGTGACTATTAGGACAAACACTCTACGAACAAGACGGAAGGACCTTGCTCAGGCCTTAATCAACCGCGGCGTGAACCTCGAACCAATAGGGAAATGGACGAACGTTGGGTTACAAGTGTTCGAGAGTAGTGTGCCGATCGGTGAGTTCGCTTGAGTACGTAAATACTGCATTCCATTAACGAAACTCCTAAGGTGCAACACCCGAATATCTGGCCGGCCATTATATGCTACAGGCAGCGTCTTCGTTCCTTCCGGTCGTCGCTCTCCAACCCGTTCCCAATGAGCGCGTCTTGGACATGGCGTCTGCTCCTGGTGGTAAAACAACGTACATCAGCGCGTTGATGCAAAACACTGGAGTCGTATTTGCCAACGATTCCAACAAGGCGCGAACAAAAAGTCTGACGGCGAATGTTCATCGTTTAGGATGCAAAAACGTTGTCGTTTGCTCTTATGATGGTCGGGAGTTCCCAAAGGTCATGGGTGGTTTCGACAGAGTACTGCTTGATGCCCCATGCAGTGGGACGGGTGTCATCAGTAAAGATGCCAGCGTGAAAGTGAACAAGGTTCGAAATAATGCTTTCTTCTTACGACCAACTTCCTGACGTTTCTCGTGCAGACTCCTCGCGACTTTATGCTTCTATCACATCTTCAAAAGCAACTCATCCTTTGCGCAATAGACTCCGTAAATCCAGACTCAAAAACAGGCGGCTATCTCGTATACTCAACCTGTTCCGTGACGGTGGAGGAGAACGAAGCCGTCGTCGATTACGCTCTTCGGAAACGACCGAACGTAAAGCTCGTGGAAACCGGCCTGGAGTTCGGTCGCGAAGGCTTCACCAAATACCGCGGCAAAACCTTCAACTCCAAAGTGTCGCTGACGAGGAGGTTCTACCCTCATGTGCACAACATGGATGGTTTCTACGTCGCCAAGTTCAAAGTCGAAAGGGTGGCCAAAAAACCCGCATCGAGCGATGATGAAGACGACAAGAAGACGAAAAAGAATGGGAAAAGCACACCGAAAGGCGATGAGTATGAGGACGAAGATGTTGGTTTCAACTCGGAGGAGGACGAAAAGTACATCGAAGGTTTGTCACACTTTTTTCGCCTCTTGTTCGCGAGACTGACTGAATGGGTACACAGCGAGCAAAATAAGACACCTGAAGTCCAAAGGCATTCGTGTAAAACCCAAGGCGAAACCCTCTTCCTGATAGTTCCTTCTTAGTTTCTATTCTTAGGATATTTTTCTGTTTCGCTTTCGTAGTAATTGGATTGGGTGCAAACTATGATAAAACCCTAAACTGAGAATAGTTGTCAATAAATTTGCTCAGACATCGGCCGCCTGGCGAAATGGTATCGCGTCTGACTACGAGGTGGAGAGTTGTGAGCGTCAGGCGTCCCTTGACGCTCACCATTCTTCTTCGTGAAATCAGGAGATTGCAGGTTCGAGCCCTGCGGTGGTCATTTTTTTCATATTGTTTCGATCTTATCATACACGTACAATACGACATTTGAACCCAAGGACGATGTTCTTCCGAAGGCAAGTTGCAAAGAGAACATACATTTTTTATCATTTTCAGTCTAACCTCGGTTAAATTACAAACGAACCGTTCTGAGTCTACCGTACTGCATGTACATGTATTTATACAACTTACCCAACCTATATCTAAGAAACATGAAAACAACAACAAAACCCCCAGCACTGATATCGCAAGTAACACCCTCAAGTAGGACGGAAGAATTCGACGAAAACCTTGCGCATGATCTTAGTCGCCTGTTTCATGTCTTCGAACTGAGTATATGCGCCATTAGTACACGTATCATAGTAAAATAAATCAGAAGCTTTTGGTTTTCTTACCGAATTTCCACTGAACGCAATTCGCAGATGACCCTCCGCCTCCTTCTGGACCTCGTCCGCGGCCGCGAAGAACCAACCGGGCCCAACGAGGACGTTGGCTTCAGCTAGAGCTGTCCAGAGCTTGAGCTCCAGCTCAGCCCGGTCTTCGGGCGAGGTGAAAGATGGGTGGTTCTCGAATTCGATTTTCAGCTGTAAGAATCTTCGTAAGCTCACATTCCGATTAACGAATTTTCAGTCATATTACTCACCCAAACGAACATGCCCGAGGACGGTGGGACGAGGCTGAAGAGAGGCTTCTCGCCAAACGCGTGCTTCTCGTCCGCATAATCTCTACCTGTCAATGCTTTCACGTCCTCCGGCCTGGGACGGGCGATGTACGCGGTGCTACCTGCCCACGCTCCCTGCGTCGCGACGGTACGCGTCATGTGGAACTCCTCGTAAAGGCTGTCGACGAAGAAGTCGCGGCGCATCGTGTATTCGGTGCCCAATCCACGAAGCCAACGGACGTAGCCTGCGTAACCCCATTGCTTTGTGAGGAGCTGGGTGATGATAGCCTGTCACCGAACAGTATTTGTAAGAAAGTCATCTCAAGTCGGGGAGAAGGTTATTGGACTTGCCTGCCCGAAGCCGCATGGAGCCTGAGTGGACGACTCGCCCTGACGCTCGAGGCGTTCGGCGAAAACTTCGTTGCAAGTGAACCAACCGAGTCTGGATCCAGGGGCGACTGTCTTTGAGAAAGTATCAAGACGAATGACGCGGCCTTGATAGTCAAACCTGGTTGATAATAATTAAAGGCGACCCGGGCTCAGACCATAACTGGAGAAAATACGAACTTCAAGTAGGAGGGAGCGAGAGATGCAACGTATGCGGCTTCTTCGTCGACATCCTTCGTCGCTCGAGGAGTGTTGTAAACGCGTTCGGACTTTGGCATGTACTTTCCAAATTGTAGGAAGTAGTACGGATCATCCTCCACAATTATGATGTCTGTCACGGTAAAGACATGTTCACCCTGGTCAATCTTACATTTAATAATGGGGATACTGACCGTATTCCACGCATATGTCGTAAATTTCCTTCTTTCTGGTGCTTCCCATAGTCTGAAATTACGGATTAAATTATTTCTTCAACGGACACAGTCGTCAAGATGGAATACTTACTGCGCCGGTAGGGTTTTGTCCAACAGGCACGGTGTACATGACATGTGGTCTGCGAAGAAGAAGAAATAAATCCACAAAGATAGATCATCGTAATATTTAAAACTCACCTTTTCGCACCACGTTCCTTCTCGTCCCACTCTGAAAGTACCTTGCGAAGATCATCACTCCTCATACCCTCCCCGTCGATTTTGATCGCTGCTGGGCTCATGCCAAGAGGTCTTGCGGTCGCCATAGCAGAAGGATAAGTCCATTCCTCGACGAGGAACTGTTCCCCGGGATTGCAGAGCGTCGAGACGGCTTTGAACCAGCTACAAGCAATATATGTTACTGGATTGATAAGTCTGTTGAAGATAAGGAGGACACTCACGCGTCAGTGTTTCCTGCGTGGACGAGTACTGCGAAGTTCTCGTATGCAGGTTGGTAAACCTTCGACGAAAATTCCTTCATGAACTTCTGTAATGGCACGAGGCCTTGAGCAGTCCCGTATTGGAGTGCAATGGCGAGATTGACGTCCTCTGGCGAGCTCGCATACTTTGGGACGGAGATATGCTCTGTTCGTTCCTTCTTGGTGCTCCCACCTGAGCCAAATAGTTTCCAGAACCATGACACGGGTGAAGATGATTTCTCGGTAGGTACCAGTGCGAATGAGTCCTTCACGAGCGTGTCTGCGCTGAGCACCGACACGGGGAAATAATCCGGGGCGGGCATGCCTACGAGAGTTGTGTTGAAGCATTGTTTGAAGTTAGTAATTGTATAACGCACCTCCTGCCAGGCTTATCAGGCCGGGCTGTCCCCAGTAGCGAGCCAACCTCTTCAACGGCGACGGCTGGCGCGATTTCGAGAGCTCAGAAAGATGGTGTGAGAGGTCGATCGCCTTCGGCAGGTGTTTTTCGTTCAAGCTCTCCATGGTCGCCAGTTGCAATTACGCCGAGCAAAAAATGTCGAGGACGGGGGATTGCTCGAGGTGGTGAGAGTACGCCTATGAGAGGCACGCAAACCACCAGCAGGCTTATCAACCTTCGCTGGTAGCGCAGTAAAGAACACGCCGTGCATGCGAGAAAATAGCGATAACAATGCTGACATCGCTGAGTAAGGTCGCTAAAGATGGGTCGCGTGCGAGTAATTGGTTAGGTTTCGACTTCCCTTGATCGCAAGATAGAAAGGGAACACGACTGCAAACATTTCCAGAGGTAAGAGACGGTAAGAAAGGTCGGGAGATGAGGGTAGGACGCAAATCCCCCGCACTGGAGCTTCTTGACTATTCGGGTGCACCGCAATCGATGATTGACGCATGGCGTGCTTGACAGAACGAATGAGGTGACCGGGAAGCGACCAAAGCTCTAAAACTCTATAGTATGCGGCTACTCTAATGTTCAAATTCGTCTACGGTAGAATGGCGTGCTGGGTAGTGGAATTGATGAATGGTGCAAGAAAGGAAACTCGTGCAAGGTGGGACAGAAGAACCGGAACCAAAATTTTGCGATTTCAATCCAAGCTCTCATCAAGGACCTCGGATTCGCAGACTGCAGACTTTCTAATCACTGGTCAGGCATAGGTATTTCGTGCTTCCAGCTGCCTTCTTCACCCTGTTCATGAACGCCAGTCCCTCCCGATCTTCTGAAATAGCCTCGATTATAATCATTTCGGAACCATCTCGCTCCAAAGAGAGTAGACCGTCATAAAGCCTGGCCGCGCTCGTAGCTGGATCGTCTATCGAGCCCAAAGCAAAATGTTGGATGGTGATCGGAGGGGAAGGTAGTTGAGTAAGCAATGAAGAATCGGATGGTGCGAGGAGACCAATTTTCTTCGGCTTATCCCCAAGGTCCTCGAACAACGACTGCACAAGGTCTACGAATGAATTGTAGGTATGTTCACCAAGAGAGCGACGCATGACGAGTATGACTGGGACCGCCGGCGAGTAGTGCCTGTATTTCATGCCGGGTGTTGTGGGTGCTTGCTCCATGGCTTCGTCCTTAAAGTCTCTCTGATGCACCATGACCTTCGGGGCTGGATTGATATCGCTTGCGAGTACCCTCTCCATCTCCTCGACAGTGACTCCTCCAGGCCTCAACACTCTCAAATTTCCATCCTCATGCAAGCCATCAACGACTGTGCTCTCAACACCAATCGCGCATGGGCCTGCATCCAAGATGACCTGCAATTTCCCTCCAAGATCGTGCAGGACATGCTCGGCGCGTGTTGGGCTGGGTTTGCCAGATGAATTCGCACTGGGCGCTGCGAGGGGGACACCTGCGACTGCGATGAGAGCGCGTGCGACAGCATGCGAGGGCATTCGGACTGCGACCGTAGAGTGTCCTGCAGTAACAATCCTAGGAACGACGCTCGTCTCTGGCGGGGAAGGGAATAACAGCGTCAACGCGCCGGGCCAAAATGCATCCATCAGCTTCTTGTACGTCCTTGGGATTTCGTACCCCTCTGGAAGAATGGATTTAAGCATCTCCAGCGAGGATACGTGCACGATCAAAGGATTGTCCGAAGGACGACCTTTGGTTGAGAATATGCGGGCAATCGCGGTCGGGTTGAGGGCGTTGGCACCCAATCCGTAAACCGTCTCTGTCGGAAACGCCACGACATCTTCGAGATCAACGAGGTGGTGTGCAGCTAGCTTCAGAGCGTCCCGCGTTTCCTGACATTGAATCGACGGTGTCTCCGTCGCGTCGTCGAAGGAGATCGAGTCGCTTTGACATCGCAGAACTCGTGCGATCGAAGTTGTTGAAGAGGAAGTCATGGTTGAGTTTACGTCCAATGAAACTTCCTTGGTATATAGCGGCCAGTTGAGCGAGCTGAAGAGTCTTCGAACCACATTCATGCAAAAATGAAGAAGAGGCGAGGTGGGTGTTGAGAGTCAAAGTGCGAAAATGCTATCGGACGTGGCGGACTTCCGTAAAAGGCATCTCACCTTCCGTTTTGAGACGCACAACTTTTTTTGACGATCGAGTTCACTGTTTTCCAGCTTCCATAATGTCGTCAGACGACGAGGCGTTTTCTGCAGACGAGCTGCTCAAACTTCAGGAGCAACGACCATTCAAAAGAAGGAGAATCTCTCCGCCAATCGTCTCGAAAGATAACGACGAATCGCAAGATAGCTCGGAGGAGGAGGAGCGTACGAGCACTCACATAGCAGTAGATGGAGCGCCAGACGATGAGTCTTCCGATGAAGAGAAGGCTCGCTCGACGAAGGGGGCTGCAACTTCTGCGAGCGTTGAAGCTCCGTCAAGAATTTCCTGGTCCAGCAGAAGGGTGAAAGATGATGCACAACAAAAAGCTGTTCGTCCAGAGCCCTCACATTCTTTCGCAGACCTGGGGGCTTCAAAACTTTTGACTGCCTCGCTTGCTGCAATGGCGATCAAGAAGCCAACACCAGTCCAAGTTGCTTGCATCCCACCATTACTCCAAGGTACGCAAACATAATCTAACTTTGACGTTCT